TGTTTAGAAGCACTCCAGCTGTGGAGGCTGAGAATAGCCATCACAGATAGTGGCCACTGATAGCCTTCTCCTTCATGAAACTGTCCAATTGTTTTTAAAGCCTTGCTATGCAGTTTATATCCAGAGATATATCCCACTGGTTCTCTTCAGTCCACCATTAGGACATGTTGAATTTCCCAGCTTTCAAATTCCAAAAATGAGGGGTGCTAAAAAGTTGTAAGATGGTTTGAGAATTCAAATTATATTTTGTTTAAATTAATATAATTTAGTTTCACTTGGTAAACAACTACATAAAAATACTGACCTTTTTATATATTTTTGTGGAATTTCCAATAATGTTAAACTTTTCTTATTAATTTTTGTGTGTGAATAATGTATGTCAAATTGCATTAAAATAATTAAAAATAACCACCAAGTGCTAGCAGTTATGTTATATATGCCTGAATATAAATGATGTCATATCTGACATCATTTCAGATGATGCTCTCAGAAAACAACGTTGGTTTTCTGAGAGGAGTTTATGTGCTTTTTAACCAAACCAAGCTAAATGTTGTCCGATCACAAAAATAATAGCATATTTTTAAAAGCCCTCACTGAAGAAATTTGCAAAAACGAAGTTTCACCTGTAAAATAGCACACCCTATTCCCCATGGATATCAGTAGGATGAAAGCCTGACTAACCATACTAAATTCCTCCAGATCTGGGCAAAAGGCTGCAATCCTACACAGTCCTGGCTTATTGAAAGGTGGCATGAATTATAGTCATGACTAACTTGCACTGAGTTCAATGGTACTAAAGCATAACTTACTTCCTTTAGATATGAGTCTTTTTTGACACTATTCCCAGCTGCTGGTTACAGTGCCTATTAATTCTCTGAGCATCATATTTGGGAAAATAATAAAGTTGAACCACTGCTGTAGAAAATAAATGGTACATTCTTTTTATGGGAAAAAGGATGTGGGATATGATTTCTGACATTAAAAATGTTCTCTGGTTATGCTTCATGACTCCTTTCTGCCTCCTATGTTACATTTAAGAGGGTGTAGAACTGCAAAGGAGATGGAAGTACAGGAAAAAACTATTCCAAACTGTACTGATTAAAATAAATTTACTCATAAAAAAAGACAGAAGTGTAAATTGCAGTATCCCAGAGCAGCAGTAACTTATACACAAAGAAGTTATTTTTGAGTTTAGTAGAGGAAATAATCTACTATCAACAAGGGGTAATTGCCTGACTGAACTTGTCTTTACATCTCACATAAACTGTCACCTTGAGTAGGAAAGAGAAATATACCACATATCAATTCTGGAAAGATTTTTGAGACGTCCCTTCAAGTTTAAAGGCTGCTCTCTCCACCCCCACCCTTTGTCAGCCACCTGAAAGAAAGAACATTTACACAGAACATATCTAATCTCTGTTCTTTTCTTATCTCTGAATGGTATCCCAACACACCACAAAATCCATAAACCAGGCAGCTGAGGGCAATATGAGAAAGGATCCATTTTAGATTGGAACAGCAATTCCAATCTGAGATTTACCTGTGGCAGTCACAGGTGATACAGGTTAGCTATAAAACTCTTTGGATATAATTTTAGGAATTATTTGAGTCAAGGAGTCTAAGGGACTTTAGTCTTTTTTTCTGATTTGTGAGTAGATGCAGTAGAGCTGAGAAGAGGGGAAAACACAATTTTGTAATGTTTTTGTAATTTTGTAACTCATATTTTAAATCAATCATCTATACCAACTTTCATCAAACTGATGCCCTCCAGGTGTTTTAGACTACAGTTCACAATCATCCCTGCCAGCATGACTATGCTGACTTGGGATGATGGGAGTTATAGTCCAAAACATCTGGCGGGCACTAGGTTGATGAAGGCATGTTCTTCCTATTCTAAGGTTTTACTCCCTCTCTTCCCTTCTTGTCTACAACTCTGAGATTTGCTGAGCCAGCAGTCACCCAGTCATAGCTGTCCAGTGTCCCTTATTTTGCGGGATAGTCCCTTATCCCAGCGCCATGTCCCGCTGCTGTCCCTTATTGATGATGTCCCTTAAATTTCCCGGGTTTCAAAGGAAGCAGCTCCTCTCCCTCCCTCCTTGCCAGCCAGGGAGGAGGGAGGCTCCAACTGTGTTGCTTGGCTGCGTTGCTCACCCAATAAGAAGTCTAAGAATGACTGGGGGGTAGAGCTTGCATGCCTTGTGCTGATCAAAATTGGCTGTGTTGCCTGGGGACTCGCCTTTGCTCAGTGCTTCCCAGCGGAGAGGTGACAGTGGTTTTCCTTGAGGCTTGAGGCTTCATTTGGCTGCTGGCTGGGCTTTCTGCCTTTGGCTTGGAGGGGCTCAGAAGTTGAACATACCTGTGCTTATAAAATCCCTTATTTTGGCTTCTGATCCCTTATTTTCGAGGCTGCTGGTCCCTTATTTTCAAATCTGTAAGTTGACAGCTATGCACCCAGTACTGCCCAGTGCAGAAAGCACCTGAGGGCAGTAGTGGATGACATGGTAAGGCGGAAGCACCTACCTGACCTTCCAAAAGCTCAGTCACTGCTGCTTACTGGAGGAGAGCGATAATCAGCATGGTGCAAACACACTGGCAGCAGTGCTGAATTGGCCTCACAGGTGGTGAATTCACCACTGTCTCATCTTTCCCTCTCTCCCTCCCAGTAAGCATCAATGACTCAGTTTTGGGGGGTCGGGTAAGTGCCACCGCCCCCAACACATCATGGTCCTCTAGATGTTCTCAGATTCATTCATACATTTTCATTGTCATATTTAGATTGACCCTCACTTTCTATTTTAAACATTTTAGTGTTGGGCACAAGTGCACCAACTTTCCTTCCATCCCTCTTTGCAGAAAGTAAATATTGCTGAATGTGCTTAGATTGTAATGATTCTATAAATAAATGCAATCAAATCTTTGATGTGAAATCAAACATTCTTTCAGACTTGCACAAACTTTACACCACTTGATGTTTGAAAAGTGAGGCATATACAGTATCTATTTTTCTTTTAGGTCAAAAAGGGAAACTGTTACAATCAGTTTATGGACACAGCTGATACAGAGGCTAGCTCAAGGCAGTCTATTGCCGTGTAAACAAATCTCAGGTGAACAGCCTTTAGCGATGTAGAACAGTGTCTGTGTGCATGTACACAAACAGGCTCTGATCCTTGGTGTAGGAATAGGAGTGTTACAAGTACTTATCATATTTATCTGTGACATATTGGAGTGTATGTGTATGAGCTGAGATCACAGCCGAGGGAGGGTATAAGGCTACCTGCTGTTTTTGCTTTACCTGGTTAAAGGCAGAGGAAGCTTTTGTAGTGATGGCCACAGCACAGTGGAAAACCTTATTTCCTCCTCTGCACCTGCAGCCAGTCACTATGTGATTGGAATCAATGATGGCACCTAGGTTTTTGCGCCACTGCCAACAGTTCAAAAGTCAACAAAGACACAAAGCATGTCAGTTTCAGTCTTATTTTGATGATCAGGACTTTACGAGTCACCTATTTTTGGAAGCATAAGAGAATATATCTGAAAGTCAAGGACAATTCTTCTTACAGAAAGAAACACTATGAATGGAATTCATCAGGGAAGCTGGTTTCCTTTATCAGCATTTTATGTCAGTCACATCAAATTTGGTCTAGGAAATAGAACCATTCTTATTCCCCAAGTTTGATCTGTATGGTGTTTGAAACTCAGTTCAGGCTTGTCATTTCTCTATGGGAACAATAGTTCATTTTCCTGCCATCATGATTCTTGTAGTACAGATAATAGTAGCTGAGGCAGTATTATTTAGACATTGTTACATAGTAATAACAAAGGACAATTCACTAAGGAAATCTAACAACATTTCATCATCATCATCATCATCATAATAATAATAATAGTTTTTGGAGGTGGGAATAATTTTTGATATGTGGCATCATTATTAAAGATGTAATGCACATTTATATATTTTCAATTTTTATAGCCTGCTTTTCACCACAGATGGTCACAAACTGGTTTACAAAAAAATCAATAGAATAATTCATCCATCAACTAACATGGTGTTTAAAACAGACAAAAACCACAGGTAAAGAAACATAAACCCCATAAATAGGCATAATGTAACTTACTTTAAATGCCTGCTGGAACAGAAAGGTCTTCATCATTTAATTTATATGCTGCTTAGTGTCAAGAGAGGCTTCTAAGCTGCTTACAAAGTGAAAACCAGTTAAAATATAAACATTCATATATTATTTTTGCACAAGAAAACAACCCCATTAAGACAGCAGAACAATTAAAGCAGTTAAAAAATTAAATCTGTTATGCACAGTCAACATTCTGCTGATTAGTGTGACTTAAGAAACACATAATTTCTTGCTGGATTGTGGTCACTCTTTGATGTTATTATTCCTACAGTGACATTAAAACAATATTTAAACCTGGTGTAGAAATTAAAAACCTGTACACATATTGGAAGTGGCAAGAAATAGGCCACAGCTAATATATTTGTACATTAAATTAAGAATGGTACACTTAAAAAAGCAGGTCCAATAATTATCCAGGAATTGCTGCCTGTTATAAAGCTGTTGATCTATTGTGCTCAGAACAGAAATCTACAGCCTCCATGCTGTTTGTGAGGATTTTTTTGGGTGGAGGGAAAAGCCTGCTAAATCCATACCCAAAGCCAGAGTATATAAACAGTTCACTGACAACCTTCTCCCCAAGAACGAGCAAATGATATAGATTTCAGAGATAAAAACATCTGAATAAAATATACCTCGTATGCAAATGACAAGAACACATTTGGAATCAGATGGAAGATTGAAAGTTTTTTTTCCAGAGTGAACAACTGTAAGATTAAATATGAATCACTCTTTCTATCTCACAAAACCTGCAAATATTGTTCAGCTTTTATTAGTGTGCGGCAATAACAGGGGAACAGGACAATTCATGCTGGGAGCTACACTGGTGATAATTCTTAGAACTGCACAGTATCTCTCTGTTCTCTACAATGTCAAGGCTGAAAACCACAGTAAGGAATGAAAAGAAGACTGTTTCCACATAGCAGAAAGAAGAAAAGAAGAGACTCAGAAGGTGGGCAGGCTTGGGTGGTAAGGATTAACTATCTGTTTTAGTATAGCCTTTTTTCCTTTCCTTTCCTTTTTTTAAAAAAGAAATTTATATTCAAAGTAAACACTCCGGTTCAGCTAAAGTTAGTTGTGACATGCAGCACAATTTTACTGAGGAGTAAGTTCCATTTACTTCATTAGAATTTACTCCCAAGTAAGTGTGCATAGAATTGCAGGCTAACTTCGACTGGCGACAATGGTATTAAATTTAGTCACAAATTATTGGTCTCACTGGCTTCAATGGGCTGATTTTAGTTGGCTTGGGACAAAGCAAATATTCACTTTCCATGTTGAAACAGCTAGATTGCCATATTTTGAGAATGTTGGTGAATATCTTTATATCCAGTAATACTCTCTCTCTCTCTCTGCGTATGTTATCCAAGAGCAACTCCTCTAATACCAGCTAACTCAATCCCTAAGATTTGGTGGGTATGGGGTTTTGTTGATGGCTGCTACTAGGTTACATGAATCAGGGATATATGGCACAGACTTCTCTGTGGTGGCCCCCTCACTTTGGAACACCCACCCACCCACCTGGAGCTGAGTTTGTTATCCCTTTTTTACATTTAGTTGATAGAGATTCTGTTATTTTAATGCCAAATGATTCCTGTGTTTGAATGGTTTTGTTATTTTATGGATAGTAATGGTTATTTTTGTGTGTTTTATTTATTTGTTATACATGGTTGTTTTATCTTTTATTGTACATCATATCTGTGCTCCTTCTGAAGGAAGTGGGATTCTTAAACTTAATAAATAAATAACAACAAGAAGTGTTTTTTGCTTATTTTTTTGGGTGGCCTGTTATTTCTGACAGAGAATGGGGAGATTCACATTTAAATATAAATTGAATCATGCTCCTCTCCCATCCCTACTGACGCTAAATTATAATAGTTGCTGTTATTATTATTATTTTGTGTTTATGTACCATCTTTCCTCCTTTAGTTAACAGATTTCTAAACTACCTTTCAGGATAAATTAACCTCCCAAGTTAGTTTATAAATTCATTCCCCGCATCATTTGCTATCTTCTATAAATGAGTTATAGTTTGAAATTTAATTTGTAAAATTAATGTAGGATATTAATAACAAAAGCTTGTGATTGAGCCAATCAGCTTTCTTTGGATCAACCAACTGAGCTGTTGACTGATGTCACAGCTAAATCTGAATCTAATTTATTTTTATTTCTTTAAGAACAGATTTCATAGAAACAGCAGTCTACTCATTTCATTTTTGTAGAGAAAGTCCAATTCATATAATGAGAAATGTTAGGCTCACATCTACTAAAATGTTACTATGCTGCACATAAAATTTCTAGAGAATATGAGCTGGAGCACAATGCCCTATCTTTGTATCTATTTTAAGTTACAGCAGCTACATAATTCTTTTAAATGCTCCTACAATATTTTTGTGATTTCTCATATAGGTTCTAATGCACCTGAATTGATTTTCTCCTTTGGCTTGCTTCAGGCCAAAACAATGTGAACTGAGCTAAAGATGACCACAACCCCAACTTTCTACGGTAAGTATATCTCTATTTATAAAGCATACATCATAAACATATACTGCAAGTCTTTCCAGAGGGGGGAAAAGTCCATAAAATAAAATCTGCAAAATAAAACGACATTTTAAAAAAGAGATTGCGGCAATATGAGTTGAAACACCTCCAGTTAAATGAATACATAATATATATTACATATAAAACCTATTAATCCAATTTAACAACATTCAATGCATTTATGCTAAGAAACAGCTAAAAAGCACTAAATGGAATTTACAGAGATGAATAAAAAGCACAATTACCAACTAGACTTGGGAGATTCCAGTTGGTAAATGAGTCTGTGAAATTGCCTTCTGTTAAAAAAGAGTATTAATGGCTATGTTAGCACTTGACTAATATTTTATGGTGCAGACTGTTGCTAAATTAAACCCTTTGTGTGTCTTCCTACAGAGACACTTAGTTATAGTTAGAACGGTTGTTTCCTGTTAAATACCTTTAAGAGTTTGCTGTGGGCTGAAATCCTTGCCTCAGCTTTTCTGTATGTTGTAGCTGTGTACATGTTACCTTCCCTACCTGCTGAGAAGATTCAGGTGGTAAAATGTCACACAACCTTAGTATTATTGGGGTGAACAAAGCATCCAGGCCCTGCTTGCTGTGAAGAACCCTGACACACATGCAGTGCTCCACATACACATCACTGCAGTGTCTGTATAGCAGGATGGGAACCTGTTGCCCTCTAGACATTCTTGGACTCCAGCTCCAGCCAGTGTTCAGAGATAATGGGGCCTATAGTTCAACAGCATCTGAAAGGCTGTATGTTCCCCATCTCTGATGTATAGAGAGATGTATTACCTCATCCATCTTCTAATGTGGATGTGAATAGACACCGGCATCCATCCTTGTAGGCCACATGCCATGTATGGTTAGTGGTTTACCTGAAGTGAGCCAAACCATGAGCCTGTATTTGAACAAACCTCTAAGCAAAACTAGGTATTAGTGCAGCAAGACCAGGAGAGAAGTGAAATGGCCAAGATCTTTGCTATGAATACCTGTACAATTGCACATTCATGCTTAGCCATGGTTTGGCTTAGCGCTGCATGTGAATCAGGTCAAACTCCTCAAACTCCTCAGTATCATATTCTGACATTTTCTCAGTATGTAGGAAAGAAGCCTCTTGTCATAAATCACAAGAGATACGTACCATAAAAGTTTGTCTTGCAATTAGCACACCTTTATTCTAGCACAATGCAAGTCTGTGTGGAGCACTTTGTCTCAATCAAAATGACAGCATATAAAGATGTTGGGTGAACACTGCGTGATTGATTATTAAACAAGCATGGTGTAACATGTGTAAGCTTCCATAAATGCTTGTTCGCTAGCATGCATTTATGCCTATCAGCAATAGCTCAAGTCAGGTAGTAGGATAAAGCTTTCAAGAAGAAGGAAAAGTTGCTATTGTGGTGGAAGAAGACTTGAAGCACCATATGAAAATGGTTATAGAAGGAAAGCAGCTTTGTAGATATTCATTGATATAATCCACATCAACCATTGATTTAAATAGAATGTGCCGTTTGTATATGATTGGAGGTTTTTTGTACTTCAACAACTCTATTCTGATTTGTAGACAGACAAATGGACAGTGAACACTTTGGAGGACTTGGCTTCTGTTGCTGTCTGGATAAATAAATGATTCCTCCACTGAAATGATCTGGGAAGCCTGCATGTGTCAGATATCCATGTGCATCTGGATCTTTTGGATTGGTCCATTTATCTTCTACAAGACATTCTGCCTGCAGTAATGCAGCACAAAGAGAACACATTATATTTTCTGTGTGTTTTGACCAGGCTCACAAGAAGCATTTCCTCTTGGATCGCTTCAGTGGTTATTTAATAAAGCTACCCCACCCCAGGAATTGGCTTGACGGACGCTTAATTCGATATAATTTTCTCATATATATATATTGTTAAAGTTAATGGTTTGCTACAGGAAGATGAACAACAAACAGAAAATTCCACTGGCTGTTGTATATGATACCTGACTCACACAAGGAGGAAAATCCACAGTAATGTACTGAATCATCATTGCTAACAGAAGCATAGCTCTTTTACAGCAGCAGTGAGATTGGTTTCAACTGGAGAAACGCAGCGGGCGGTTCGCAGAGTGATCCTCGAGCATGCTGGGGAAATGATCCCTGGTGTACGGCCAACTGCAGTTTGTAACATCAGAAGTACTGCCTCTTAGAGCATCTGCAGCACGAGTTACAAACAGATTACAAGAAGTGTGTACGCTCCAAGCTGCTGTTACATGAACCATATCTTCTGTATAGCCCAGAGCAGAAGAATTAAATTGTGCAATTCTAATTAGAAACAGAATTAATGCTGTCTACTGAGGATGGAAGGAAGTGAAATAAGCTAGTTAACGACAAGCAGGCACTTTGGGGTTTTATAGGCTTTACCTACACACTGGAGTTGCACCGATCCGAGGGTGCTTCGTTGGGGTAACCCCTGAGATATTTCAAGCCGAGTCATGACATGAACACTATCGACTGGGTTTGTTAGGAGTGACATGGTCAAATAATACTGTTGCATAACATTCTTTGTAGTCTGCACTGTGTGTCTGCAATGTATCCTGGTCACAAAATGATGACTGGTATGATTAAGAGGTGGCCCTACTGATTGTTTATCTCATTATGATGATTTATATAGTATTTTTATATACATTCATAACAATGACATAATGTCGTGAATGCATGAATATGCAATGACAACGAGATGCAACTAAAATAATGGATCCATAAAAATAACATTTTATTGTGGAAGAGGATGTGGACCCCTCTCTCTCTAAGGAAGGGGAAAGGGGAAAGGATTTCTGCAGGGAAGCCAAACTCTCCATTTCTTAACCTTATCAGGAGGAGCTGAATGAGTTATTTGTCATTGTGAAAGATTCTTAATGCCTCCTTTATCTGCATATGAATATTCCCTATATATTATTAGGCTCACAAATGCTCCTACTAAATTATTGAGTAAAATACAATATATAAAAAACAATGACCCTTTTTTAGGAGTACAGACTTTAAACATGTATATGCATCTGTGCAAATAACTTTCTATTTATTCAGTGATCTTAAATGAGTTTTTGCAGCAAACATGCAGACTTTTAAAAATATTTATTGCCTCATGGGTGTGTGTGTGATAATAATGGGATCAGAACAGACATGGAGGGGAAATTTAACCCTTTCTTCCTTTGCTGCTGTGTGAAGAAAAGCTTTACTCTTGGAGCTAAATTTAGCTTGGGGCAGGGGGCGGAATTGCATATTGGCACCAAAAGATATTTCCCTTGGGCTGCAAATTGCAGCTTCAGAGAGAGGCATCTTTTGTCCAAACTTTAGCATGGAGAGATGGAATTAAACTTTCCCTCTCTAACTGAATAGTCCCGAGGCTGTTTGGGCTTCCCCACACCTGCTTCTTGCATAACCAAAGAACTGCATGCTATTTGTATTTAGGCAATTCTCATCAAGCCTAGGTTGACCTTTAGTTATTTGAAGGATCGCTGTATACTGAGGAAAATGTATCATTTTCATGCTCAGAATTTTACTTTTATTTTCTGTTGGAATGCTAGGGTGTCCGGTCTATGTTTTATATTTCACCAGGGTCTGGAATAATTTCAGGCCAGGCCTTCCACAAAGCTCTAGAGACCAGGCCCTGAGGCAGCGGAAGACCATTTTCTGGTGGGCTTTAGTCATGCCTGGTGTTTATTTGAGTTTGTTCTAAAGTCACCATACTTTGTGCACAGAATACATCTTATAACTATTACTTCACATTCTCTGGAGCAAGAGCTTGCTGAAGATATTTTCCAGCCTGAGGAGGATTAACAAATGGTGCCCCCCTCCCAAAGTTAAGATGCACAGTACCAGAGGCAGCCAAGCTACTTCAGCACCTGAGGCAGTAGATCCCACAAGTTACCCCTCTCCCATCATGACAGTAAAATACAAATATAGTGGTACCTCGGGTACAGGACACTTCAGGTTACAGATGCTTCAGTTATAGACTCCGCTAAACCCAGACACTCCAGCCAGCAATAGGCTAGGCGGGGCGTTGCTGCCTATTAGGCCGGACACTTATTTGCAATTCTGAAGCTTATTATTTCTGAGCTTCCCGGATATTTTTTATAGGTCCGCGTCCCTGGCAACAGAATAGTACTTTTAAGAACTTTCTTCCGGTGAGAACAGAATGACGGTGGTGTATGGCGGCAGTGGGAGACCCCATTAGCTAAAGTGGTGTCTCAGGTTAAGAACAGTTTCAGGTTAAGAACGGACCTCTGGAACGAATTAAGTTATTAACCCAAGGTACCACTGTCATACATTAATACTTGACAATTTGCTGGCCTTTCATTACCCCCCAAATCAGCTGCCTGAGACCTAATAATGGCCTAAGAACATAAGAATAACTCTGCTGGATCATGCCATCATGCTGCTTTCACAGTGCCAGGCCCAAACAGTGGCAAGCAGGACCTGAGCATTCTCCCTGTGTAATGGGAGGGCCGGCTCTGTCGGAAATGCAGCCTTGACCCTGGAAGTACATTACGTTGCTAAATGCAGATTAAATCCTATCTGAACAAACCCAGAATAAGTCCAACCATCTGATGACTACCAGGAGTTTTGAAGTTAAGATGAAAATGGCTGTAAGCATTTGTTCTTGCCTAAAGGCAACCCAATTGATCTCAAGGCAGGGCGAGACCGCCTACTCCATGTAGCAAAGTAAATTCATTGGTAGCTACATTTGTTGCTTCCTCATTGCTCCTCTTCTGTCAGCCAAGGAATGACTCCAAGATGGTGCTGCTTCAAAGAGAAGCATCAGCTGTGTTTCTCCAAGATGGTACCACCTTTGAGAAAATGGCCACTCTAAGTAGTCGATACTATTTTAGAAGCTCCTCACACACAGTTCTTCACAAGTTGTTTTTTTTTTGGTGTGTGTGTGTGTGTGTAATGCTCCTTGCCCATAAGGCTGTGAGATGCCCAAGAGTTGTATACTCATTTGAACATCAACCTGCCCATTTGAATGTACTGTTTGTCACTGCTGACATGGCTCCCTCCATATGTAAGTCCTGGGACAATTTCCCCTAAAAGCATCCCTGAAAAAGGACTCAACAAAAAAGGCTGTTGGTTGACTTTGTTCTGGACCAGCAAGGCACTTGTGACCCACAAAGTGATGCTAATCTTCAGTTTGGGAAGTAATGCAAGAAATAACAAGGAAGTGTGTGCACGTCACCCAATGACTGAGTCGCATTTTCAGTTTGGGTGATCTGATCCACAACAGTATAATATAATTTTCAATAATAAAGATCCTTTGAGCAATAAAATGATAAAAAAAAACCTTATATGGCCATTAGCTGCTAATGGAACAAGTTGAATGGGGAGAGTAAATCCATAGTACGTATCCAACATTTGTATTATAGTATATTGATAATGAATCCTAGAATACCCATTTGAACCATCAGTATTCTTCTGTTTGCCCTGTGAGAAATTAGAATCAATATCATACGCATTATTTGTACATTTCTATACCCATATGTGCATATGTATATTTAAGTTACAAACTAAATAATGGGCTTTACTCTGATTTCAGATTTTTAACACTCTGATGCACTTCTTCATTCTTCCCATCAATTTAGTCTTGGTGTTTTTCTACATCCCTGAATTAAGTCAATAATGTCAATTACTTACCATAAGCATAGTAAATACCATTCTAATACAAGTTATTTGCAATGTGACTTCCTCATCTGTATGCATTATTGTGCTAGGAAAATGAAATGAAACCCTTGATTTGGAATCTGAAACAGAAGTAATGATCCTGTTTACTGATTGACTGAAGTTGGGTTTTTTAGCTCCCGTTTAATAGCAGAAACAGAATGAAACATTCAAATAAAACAGTGTGTGTTTAACTTATTTAAGGAAGCATTCATTTATATACCCAAGTCATGCCATAAACGCTGTCCCTTTTCATGGTGGTGATAATTCTACATATTTAATAATATAACAAACTCACTTTAACAGAAAAGTGTGAATTTTATTATTATTTCCTAAATGAAGTTCATTTTCAAATACTGTTTCGGCTCTTGTTTAGGAGTAGATGTACAATTGAGAATGCATGGCTATAAATGAGAGTTTAAAACAGGAGATGGCATATGTTGAAAATGGGCTAGAGGTAATGTCTTGGTGATTAGGCCATATACGTGTCATAAAGTCAGAGAAGCATAAGAGGTCCCTTTTAATTCTGTAGTGCTTATAAGAACCACTTTACATTTCAGCACCTTGTAGCAAACCATATATACTAAGCTATTTATTTTGCACCCTACTGATTACTCTGTAGCTGTGGTCAATTAAACCATACTGTTGTTCTAGCTATGGTTTCTGGGAGACTAGTCTTCGGATCGTTACTTAATGCTAAGCAATACCTAATTAGAGGCTGTTATTGCTAAGATAACCTAATTGTTGGCTATTGTTTCTGTTCTGCTGATGATGGTAGCTAGCTTTGATTCCACCTGCTAAGCTTCTGAAAATCTTAATGCCTTTTCCCTTTTCACAATTTCCCTTTTATTGTAGAAGATCTACAAAGCTTTCATAATTCCCCTCCTTCAAACATTTTCTTGAGGTTGTGGGGAGTATTCCCCCCCCAAAGGAATAGCACCACTAAGTTTTATGCAGATGTGTTCAACTATGACTGTAACATGTAGCTTGTTGCTGTGTATTGCATCAATCTGTGGCCACATTTGTTCATATTGGAACTTCAGTCCAAAACATATAGGTTGCTCTATAATGCTCAGCAATAGAGCATATGCTTTATGTTCAAAAGGTCCAAGGTCCAATCTCTGGCGACCACAGATAGGGTTGCCTGTAACCCACTGCCAAGAATGTAGACTACACTGAACTATGCATTGAACTATATTGCAATAGTCTGGTGGTATAAGGCAATGTTCTATCTTCCTACCATAGCCACAGAAGTGTAGTCAATTTAAATGACTTTGTGGTAGCTCAAAGCATTGTTAGTCTAGTGTTATACGCTGTGATTTTATGGTGGTGCAGTAGCTTTTGCATCTGCTCAGATGCTTAATTCATGGCCACTACCGCGGCAAGATATAAGCATTTCTGTTTAAAAAGTCAAACTTTATGTTATGCCTTGGCAAAGATAATAGGAAATAAGTGCCAGAATGAAATCTTTTCATTAGTACAATATGGTAAAAGAAACAATTAATGATAGGACTGAGGTGGCCTCCAAGTTCAACAAATCCAACTCTTTGCAGAATGTTGGCTTTCACTATGATTGGGGGTTTTTTTGGATAGTGGTTGTTTATTTATTAAATGCATTCTGAAGGTAAGATTTGACAACTATGTTTGTCAGCATCAGTTATTGCTCACCTTTATAAATTCACTAGCCCAGGCATAGGCAAACTCGGCCCTCCAGATGTTTTGGGACTACAACTCCCATCACCCCTGACCACTGGTCCTGTTAGCTAGGGATGATAGGAGTTGTAGTCCCAAAACATCTGGAGGGCCGAGTTTGGGGATGCCTGGTTTAGAGGTTTTATTACAATCAAGCAGTACATAAATGTTGCAAAACTAACAATTTGCTGACCTTTCATTAACTTCAGAATCATGTAAGATAGATGTCTCACACTTCCTAAAGATAGGGCCAGCACTATGAGAGAAATGGGTTGCTCCTCATGTAAATGTTTGCCATACGTCAGATTCAGATACTCCTGAAACATCATGAATAATAATAATAATATATTATTATTATTATTATTATTATTATTATTATTATTATTATTGAATTTATATACCACCCTATACCCGGAGGTCTCAGGGTGGTTCACTGAACAAAATAAAAATATAAAACCACAAAATTTATAATCAAAATAAAAACAACAACCCAATTACCCCCACTATACGTATATAGATATATAGTATTCTTATTTATTTGTTTAATCAGAAAAGAGTGTTAAACATTGAATTTTTCACCCAATTGTACTTATTTTAACTTAAACCAGAGTCTTCTGATAGCCTGGATAAACAGCTAAATATGTGTTACATTTTCTCCTCCCAGTACCTGTATTTTTCAAGCACATAGACATAAACAGCAAACTTTTTGAAGTTATTTATGTACTGTGGTATTCAGTTTCAACTAAAGTAAATAACTAGAACATGCCCCACCCCCGCAACTAGGAGTAACTAACTCTTGTTCAGGGCCCAGTGACAACTGTAATGGGTAATTTACAGCCTACAACAAGGCTTTGGGATTAAATAACAGTTGGTCTTGTAAACCAACAGGCTTCAGTGAAAACACAAGTAATTTGTTTATTGTCTTCTTTCAGTTTCCCAATTACAATTGATCTCTGTTTAGCAGCCTAGTGTTGCTAATTGTTAGGGAAAGGAGGAAATGCCTTAATCTTTATAGGCATCTTGTAGCCTAGGGTTTGACTTCATAATTCACCATGTCAATCTCACTAAAGCAAAGATAAATGGAATGCACATCCTTGGAAACTTGTACCTTAACACATGCTTGGAAATTAATGTATCAGCTGCAAATGCTAGATTGGGTAGCCAAGGTAAATCACTGAAACCTGCGTTGGCACTGGGCTTTGCAATATTGATAATCAAGAAATCTAAGCATAGTTCATTCAGAAAATCTCAGTGATTTCTATAAAACATGCCCTGTCGTTTGCTTAGGATCACAGCTATGGTTTGTGGTATTCTCCAGCTTGTTATCTATTTAAATTCTACTGGTGATCATTAATCAGCTTTCTATTTCTTACTGTTTTTTGAAAGGCCTGGTCAGCCATAACTCTAAAGGGAATGATTCACCAAACGTTTAAGCCCCATTACGTTGCTTTTGATGAAATGTTAGTGGTGACTGACCATTGCAGAATTAGCCCCTCCAGGCATTGTCTGAAGATGTGGACAGGAGCAGAGCTGTGCTATCCAGACCTGCCCCCAAT